GGCTGGGCACGCCCGCTCGGCACGCGTGTCCGGCGGGCTGGCCTACCTCACCCCTGCGCGCCTGGTGGCGGCGCGGCGGCCGGGCTGGGCATGCTCGCTTGGCTAGAGCACATTTACAACATTATGACACCTTCATTCGCCCTGCGCTGGCTCGGCTTTGCGACCATTCGGACAGGACGCGTCGACGCTGAAAATGCTAGAGTCACATACCTTACTTTCAGGAGAATAAGATCAGACACACAAATAATCTCACTCTCCTAGGAGCAAGACATCTGAATCTCACTCTATTTGAGTCATAATTTGAGGTTCTCATCCAATGAGAGTGAGGTTCCTCACTGCAATTGGGCGAGGTCAGGGAAATCTTACTTCTCCAGAGTGAGAATTCGGTGCGTATGACTCAAATAGGGTGAGCATTATAGTCATCGCTCTGATCAGGCGAGGCAAAATTGCCTCACTCATTTCGAGCACGACACCTCACTTAAAGGTTTTCAGTGGAGGAGCCGAAGGAGCTGCCCCATTGAGATACAAGGGCCGGTGACTCGACACACTATCCCATAACCGCGGGACAGACGGCGCTTAAGAGCCGATTATTTGTTTGGGGTACTTGTTGCAATATCAGAGCGCGGCCGTGCCGGCCCCGCCGACCTGCGACGCCAGGAAAGAGATAAAAGTCGAGTCAACAATTTTCTTAAAAGGGGTTTGGCGATCTGTTGAGCGGTGTAGTTTTCCGTCACGGGTTCAGAGATGCGCACCTGGTTCGCCCTTTTGTTTGTGGCGCTCGCCGTAACGGCGGCGCCGGCCCGCGTCCAAGCCGACGAGGTATGGCCTGGACGATGACCCTCCCGGGCGCGCCCCGTTACCCGAGCCTGCTGCTGAACGGCTAACAACGTTAACCATTTCCAGGGTGACGACACTGACATCAACATCAACGAGATCGTGGACCAGCTGCTGGAGCTCGCGCACACTGAGATCATCAACCTGGGCCTGGATCAGATCGTGCTGCCCGACATCACGGAGAAGTTCAAGAAGAAGGTCGGCCCCATCTCCATCAGCGGCAGATTCGAGGCCCGCGACGGCTGGGCCAAGTCCCTCGCGTCCTTGGACCGCTCCGGCGAGGCCACCCTCGCCGAGGACGGCGACCGCCTCGTCGTGGAGGTGCCCCTCAGCCTCAGCGACCTCCAGATCGGGTAAGTCCAGGTCCTCCGAGGACAAGCGAGGGTGGTTTGGTTTGCGCTCACGCCGCTCTCACGTTCTACCATCGCAGGTACGGGTACAAGGCCAAGCTAGGCAAGCTAGGCCCCGGCGGCAAGCTCACGGCCACCGTCAACTCCAACACGGTCACCCTCCGCGCCAGCCTGCTCATCTCGGACGACGCGTGCAGTCTGGGTGTCGACTCGCTGGTGCTCACCGACCTGGGCAAGATCAACGTGCACGTCACGGGCCTCGGCAAACTCAACTTCCTCTACTCCAAGATTGTCACCTGGGTGACGGCGAAGCTGCACGACAAGATCGAGGGCGCCGTGCAGAAGGGACTCCGGGACGCCATCAACAAGGCAGGGCTCAAGCTCGACTGCAACTCGCTCTTCGGCATGTGATTTCTCTCCACAAGCTATTCCTCTTCCTCTCACATATCTTCATATCGGCCATATTCTCAACCCAAGTTAAAATGTGTGCCAGAATTTGTTTGATCGATTTATTTTCTATTAAATAACACATCTCCTTTGCTGTAAGAATAAGCATTAAATTGTTGTCTTTTTTCAAAACAGATTTATTATTGGAAGTTAACCAAGTACACTCAAACAAAATGATTGCAATAAACAAGAATGGGGAGTTAAAACTTCGCACATTTAGTGGTGTACAAGTTAAAAAAACAGATTATTTTCACTAAAATCAGCTTTATTTGCTATAGAACACAGTGTGGATAAACAATGAGGACAATCACTGGGAACACATACAATTTGGCATTCTAAATCTTGAAATGAGTAAGGAGTCTTGGCACAACAGTTATTGGACACCAAAACTTAATTTTGGAACTTTCAAGAACATGTATATATATGGAATACAGAGGAAGGTAACAACCAGAACCAGGACAACTCAAATTCCTTGTCTAAGAACTTTAACCAAGATACAATATGCAAATAAATAAGTACAAGTTGTAATGGGTTTGCTTGAAATGTTCTTAATCCTTCTGTGTACCTGACAATATGTATATAGTCTGAAAACCGTAGAGATCACAGCAAGTACATCAATATATATCTGTTGGATCGAAGAATAAAGTGTCAGACAAGTTGACATAAATTGAATACATACCTACATGAGCAAAGATAATGTTATCACTGCAGTTATGAACTAAAACTGCACATGAAGAAAATGGGAAAACTTTGCCACACAACATACCGGTACAGCAGGTCACACATCTTAAAATGTTAAGGATTTAAAAATGTTCCATGCATTCTACAAAATTTAACAAATTTACTACACACTAGTTTTCTCAATCCTGTTGGTAGCAGATGAACAAGAATATAAAAAACTTAAATGTCAACTTGCAAAATTACATATCAGTTGACACAGGTTTTGATATCACAACAGGGAAAGCATTCATCCAAAGAAAACTATCAAAACTAAGGCAATTATGATGCACACAACTAGTTGTCTAGGCTTGAAATCTCCCAACATCACAGTTTAACTTACTGAGCTCAGTCTCAATGCTGACAAAAGAAAGTTTTGCAAAAGAATGAATGCAGTAAAAATTTTTATGTTCATGTCAGCACCTATTGCAGTCAGTACTTGATTCAATCAACTATATGTATATGACTTAAGCCAATACAAAAACTGACAAATTTACTTTATCAAGACAGACTAATACAACAGTTATGGAGAGCATTTAATCTTAGCACTGAAAATCACACTTGATTTTTTCAAAAAAAAAAAAAATAAAAAAATGACTATGCATTAGACAAAATGTCCACATGGCAAGTACAGCCTTTTAGATTAGATAATCAGCCAATAATTCCTCAGCACTAGAGGGTAGAAATGGTACTTACACAGCTTTGTTCAGAATCAACAACTGATTAAAAGAGGGGGGAAAGGCTAATCTAGTTAGGATTAAGTTCAATGAGGAAAAACAACAATACTCTTTTTCAGGGTTTTCAACCAATGGTGCTCATTCACATATTTAAGCTATTTCCATGAGAATGTGAAGAGCCAAGTCCTACAAAGCTTTACCAGTGAAATAATCCTTTATAGATTTAGGATTACAGGAAATGACCCCCCAAAAAGACAGGAGTTTCCACTGAGATATTGATGAAGTCTCTTCAATCAATCCAAACCATCAAAAATCAGCAATGATTATAAAAAAGATATGATCTAATGACAATGAAAATATAACATGATCAAGTCAAATTAGGCCAGCATCAGAGCACTTAGGCACACCCACTTTTGAGGTGTGCACAACAGCAAACACAATAGCTTTCATACGAATAAAAATAATTGGCAATCACAGTAAGAAAGGGAAAGCCATCATTAACATTTACTTCAAATTTTAAGGGATACGGGAAAACATTGAGTGTAAAGAAATCCAAATATAAGCATATGCTGGCTTTGGTTTTACACCAAGAAATCAACGGAATCACTGATTTTAGATTACATACCATTAGTTGGTCCCATAAAAATCAAATTGGAACGGCTGCTTGAGAAGTTCAGGGATAAAAGTCCACTAAGAACTATTCTTTTTTCCTCCCATGTTTAGTTAGTTTTGGCAACAGAAGGAGCAGATAAAACAAACATGTTGATTCTAACTTTGATTAAGAATTATCAGATGAAAAAATGAAAGAATTACAAGAAATTTTGTTTCGTGCACAATTAATGAGGTCATGAATATTGAGAATAAGTCCAGATAGCTGACCAGTGCATGTTGTGCAAATACAATGTGTTTTTGTGGTTAAAAAATGCACCATGAATGCTCAGGATATGACCTCCTTTGATACAGTTTGCTGCCTCGGAGGAAAATCAAACATTAAAAGGGTATAGTTCATATTACCTGTACATTGAAAGAGGAATCACAAGGATATTTTTTTTCTTCACTGCTGAGAAGGCTAGGGTATGTTTTTATGAAATAAGAACTAAAGTTGTTAATAAGCAGCTAAAATATTGTTGATAAATTACAAAAAAAAAAATATCTTGTTGAAGTTGTAAAAAAAATTTATGATGCTTTCAACTAATTTTAAAATGTTTTGAGGATTAATTCATAAAATATTGGTGGGTAAAATTTTTGAGAGCTTTCAGTTAAGTGACATTGCAATTCTTTCAGCGGAATGACCTTCAAAAGGTTTTAAACATGGGCTTAACACTTAAAATCAAGACAGGAAGAGCTTACTGACTCCTTTTTGAGTCATGTTTCTTAAACCTCTCCAGTAAACATATGTCTATAGAAACAGGAGCTTGCAGATGATTCATTTTAAACTACAACACAGCTAACAAAATACACTAGATTTCACATTCTTGTTCATGGTTTTTATGTTTGTTTCATCCTTCATTTTCTTACTATCAGACCTTGATGAAGTTTTGTTTAAACAAAGCTGCGCATTTTCTTTAGAATTTCTCTTTTCATTAGATTGAAGTTCTAGACTTCTTAATCTATTTTTGTTTGTTTGTACATGCTGCTTGCTACTTCCTATTCCTTCTGTTGTCGATTCTCTTTTCAGAGGTAAAAGAACTTCCCACCATCGAGAACTATTTTCTGGGGAAGGGAAAATTTCAAGGAGCTCTTTTCCTCTTTTTGTTTTACATGGACTGATCAGACCCAGACAATCATTCCTAGAGGTAGATAACTGTCTAGATAATATTGGAGTAGCAGACGCACTTTTGCACTTAACAGCCCTTTGCTTTTCTTTACCAGAGTAATCATAAGCCTTCATTTTATTGGAGGAGCTTTGAGGATTTGAAAAAGAGCACAAAGAATTTTTGCCTGCTTCATGGTTCAACTTACTGTCCCTTATGTCCGATTTTAAACTAATATAAGCAGATTTTTTATCATATGATGGTATGTGGACAGATGTTTCAACACAAGAAGACTTTAAGTGAGAACTTTCAGCTATCATTTCTGGGGTTTTTGATGCACTTTTTGGTATTTTTAGACTTGTAAGGGCATTTATCACAGTGGCACAGGCAGAGCGTCTAGAGGAGACGGGTGCACTGGACAGATACTGTCAGCTGCCTGCAGCTGGTGCAGCTACAGAGACAAGAGATTCCTTAAGAACAGGCTCTGAAATGGAGGAGTGTGACTTAGAGCTAGAATCACCGCAGCTCAACCGTGACAGGTAGGACAAAGGACGGTTCTTTTGAGTCAGTAATTTGTGAGAGCGTAATCTCGCTGCTGAGAGCTTGATACGTGCAGAGCTCCATAGGTATAAACTTGAGTTTCGTGGACTCTGAGGAAGAGTTGGGCTTCCCTCTTTCGAGCTCATGAAACGCTTCTTGGCAGTCCTTGTGAGTCTGCAAAGAAAACACACTTATGTAAGGATTGTTTTTTCTTTAAAATCTGCTGTCAACATAAGAACTGGAGTATTAGAGCAAGCAAACACACTCATAGCTTATAACACAGTCAGTATTGTTCCAAGTTACATATGCGCTAGCAACTATCTAATAGTCCAGGAATATAGTTTGACAAACAGTGGAGTATTGATAAACAGGAGCTAATGTTATTGTTGGAAAAAGTCTAAAACTGAGCCTTACATAACAGTTGAAAAAATTAATCTCCAAACCTTTTTAAAAATTCTACTTTGACAATTACGTCTCAATATTATTTCTGACAATTGTAAACCCTTTCTTTTGACACACTTAGAAAAAAACACAGTACTTTAAAACATTTTTTATTTAAAGAAAAATGTAGCTTAATAATTCAGTAAAAGCCGCTTATAACGTCACCCGTACGTGCGCCAAAATCTCAACGTTATATGCGGGAAACGCTAAATCCGGTTGAATACTCTAACGCGGAAACCAACATTAAGCGATCGGAGCCAACGTTACAAGCGGAATAACGTTATATACGGGAGACGTTTTAAGCGGCTTTCACTGTATCTAACTGTGATGTAAGGTCTCAGCTGACACAGAGGTCTTGTTTGAATAAAACTGATACAAACTAAACAGGAGTAAATGTTTGATTAGATACACAAAAACAAAATTAGTTCTTTTTTCAAAACAGATGAAAACCTCAAGATAGTTCAAACAAAAGAATGAAACCAGTGCACTTTGCAAGCCAACCAATGCCTAATGTCAAGCAAGTTAGTATGAAGCATACTTTATAACAAATGCAGTGAAAATACTAAAATACTGTAGAAAAAGCTTCAAAATGTGCCATGGAAAGCTTTGCAAAACATGACTTGTGAAAACTACTTAAACCAACCAAACTGACACAGAAAAGTAAAAATGAAAATTAATACGAATAGTAAATGTTGTCGAATTTTTTAGCACAATGTGGAAGACAGTGTCCCCAACCACAAACCACCAAGTCCAGCAGAAAATTAATTTTCTAAGTAAACTTTAAAAAAAAGGAAGAAAAGAGCGAGCATTGGATGAAGGAAGCCTTATTGTACAAGATTCTTACGTATCAACTGATGAGTTGCTACTCGAGATGCCCGCTTCCACTGGGGCTCTCATCCCGGCTTCCATATTCAGGGGGTTCGTACAGCACTGTAAACATGCGATGGTCGCATAAATTACCAAATACAAATAACAAACCACCAGCTACAATACTATTAAGTTAAAATAGCAACTGGGCTGGTAGATAACAGATACAATATCCCACATTATTTATTAGAAGTATTTGCTAATCTGTTCAGTTTCCAACAAACAGAACAAAAATGGTATTTTAAAAAAATATCTTTGATAAATTCAGATAAAATTTAACGTTAGTTTTACCAGTCTTGCCTATCGCCCGAGTTACAATTTTAAGCTTAAACAGTGACAAGGAGATATTAAGACTAAAACCAGTATTGACATGATGCACACACATGCTTCAATGTCAGCATGATCGACACAATCAAAAATAAACATATCTACAAGTGACACACATGCAATACAATGCACATGGAAATACCAGGTGTACTGTCCTAATAACATATGTAGACCACAATGAAAAAGGCACAACAATTTCCACATGATTGCAACTTGATTTAACTTGGTTCAAAGTTAGACTTTGTATGGGACTTCAAACACAAAATAGGGAAGACAAAAAATACAGGAAGGTCTAGGCAGACAAGGGACAGCTTTGATTCATTGATAGGAACCACTTAAGGTAGCAACATGAGTCAAACTGGTGCTGGATTATGACAACACAGGACACATCCTACTGAAAACTAACACATATTTTTAGGGATCCACTTACATGCTTGCACTGATATCAGACACAGAGACTACAACACACTTTCAAGAACTAAAACACTTCCAATAAGACTCCTATTTAGATTTCACAACAGATGATGTAAACTGAGGGTGCTTTGTTCACAGTTACATTTAGAATTCACAAAAAGTGAACAGGAGATCAACTGCATGATAAATTACAATTACACATTTCAGAGAGCACATCTAAACTGAATGACTCACTAAAGTCTAAACTATTTCATGCCTATTACATAGTTTAGTCTTATTTATATATATATCAAGTCTTACAGTCTGTTCTAGAAGCATATTATAAGTGGTCTTAACTGAACACACTTCCATACAACCAAATTAACTAGCCTAATGAAGGATTACCTAATTACATTTTCTAGTCAGATAAAACGTATCCTACAGACCTGTAGAAGATGTTATAAACAGTGACATGGTTGAATTCTCTATAGTTAGACTACACTTTTCATAATGGTGGTAAAGAATACCCTTGATACGCTTCAATATTTTGACTAACTACCAATTTAAATACTTATATTATCGGCACTGACTCATCAAAAACTCAGTATAAAATTGGGTAATATTGGAAAATACTGCAATAGAATATCTCCCATTGAGGGTAATTACCAAGCCATTGAAATACAAAGGGGCAAAGGGGCAACTAACAGAACTGTTTGTAAAAAAAAAACTTGTGGAAGCTTCCTAAAGAAACATTAAAAGATGTGAGATTTACTGAGTACATAATACTTATTGTAAACGATACTAAACTAAATGAGAATCTACTCCACAAAATACACAAGAAAAAAATCATACATAATAAGATTGCATATCGCCTACTTTGTAAACATAAAAGGCTACATTTAAACAAACGGTTGTCAACAAGAAAAACTTAAACCAACACTCGTCAGAAAAGTAAATTTTAAAATAATTAAAGTTTGCTGTTTTTAGGCTCATGCCATGCTATCTTCCACTGAAGTGAGAATCCAGTAAAGCAATTATGAGTTGACATGATAAAAAAGACTATACCTTCCACTTTGGACCTGGAGTGTAAGCAATACCATGTTGACACCATAGACACAGCTTATATCACGTCATAGTCTAGGCTACATAAAAACTGATTAATTAAATGAGCTTACTACACACATACACAGACAGACGACACAAAAACACATACGGAGGGACGTACAAATAGACATATATATGCAGTTCACTGAATATAGGTATGTGACAGTACAGGGTGACAGCTACCTAATTTTCCATTTACAAATTCATAAATAGGGAGTCAATCTGAATTTTGGATATACAGACAGATATGGTGATTGTTAATATCACATTATTGTGGTGCTTTTGGTATAATACTGACCCCAATATCCTACAACAACTCTTTTGAACGGGCCTACAGACCAGGATATCTGACTTGTTTCAATTCACAATTTGTCTGTTGACACATTTAGAAGAAGAGAAAGAAATTGAAATATATGGTGAAGTTTCTGATGGTTAACGGATTAGCATCCAAGTAGAGTATGAGGGGGCTAAACACATCAGATAGAATTTGTATTATACGTGATTGTCACAATTGCTCCTGATCTAAGGCCTTTTTGAACTATATAAAGATACTACAAACTAGGTTCAAACACATTTAGGAACTCTGGTACGTCATCCCTAAAACAACAAGGAATAGCCAATTTGTGACTTACTGTGTTCTGCCCTTTTGTACTGGCAGTATACTTTCCTGAAAAGCCTGCACACCTTGTCCTTCAGGTGCACAGAAATACAGGTCCGTCAATAGCAAAACTGAACAAGACTAGAGAATTTCTAATGAGATGGTCAAACTGAGTTCTACAGCCAGACACTGAGCCAAACCAGAGGTGCTCGTTTAAAATACTCCACCTCAACAAGTCCCTAGCTGATGAGGTGACAACATTGTTCATATGGTTGTTATTACATAATACTGCTAACTAAACAAGACCCACTCTGTGCCCTCAAGTGAAGAACAAGCCCACAACAATTTAATAGCTTTCCCTCTAATAAAAATGATTTTAAGATTATAGATAGTATAAATATGAAAATTGAATTGTGTGCCTAGCACCATATGCCAAAACAAACAAACAAAAAAACTAGCAGGTTTCCAACATTAATGAGGTATAAGACAGAGAAACAAAATCAAATTCTTTTTCGGAGTCGGTAAAATCCAGAGGAGTAGTATAGTTAGTTTTTTCCAAAGAGAGGTGTTTCAAAGTTTACAAATTTGAAAAATAATTGATGAACAAGACACAGAACACGTGCACACACACATACAGAGAAACCTGGATAGTTATCACTTGAGACTAAAGTCCATAACCAGTGACAAACTTGACATGGGCCCTCCTCTGAAAAGTTACTTTATAAGAAGGCATTCTTACTATCCAGGTTTCAGTGTAACACACTCACACACACATCCCCTTCAGAAAAATAAAGATAGATAAAAATAAAACAAACATTAAAAAACACAAAACAAAACACTATGACATTGAGCAGAAAAGGTGTAACACATCCTTTACACTGGGAGACTGCATTCCAGATAACAGAAACAATGTCAACAACTCACAGGATGACGCACAGTCATTCTCCAGGTCAGGGTCAAAAAACCCATCCAACTCATGATCAAATCCTTCCTAAAAGTATAATGAATTATATAACCACTGATATGTCAACAGAGATATAGACAAAATTAACCATAAATGTGCACATAACAAAATCAGTTTCAAATGTGTCAGTACAGAAATTCAGTAGCACTACAGAAAGAACTTCTCAAATATTAAGTAATTTTTTTTTAAATCCCTCTAAAACCGCTGATTATGTACGATATATCACCTCGACAACCAATGCAGACAAGAGGTGCGAGAAGATAGTAAGAAGTCAATTTCTCAGCAATTCAAGAAAAGAAAAGAATGACGAATCGTTCGACGAAGACAAGGAAAAGATACAACCGAAATTCTACAAAAATTTTATGGCATGTAGAAAAAACTAACCTTTGCTTTGGTGCTGGGTGCAGGGATTTGTAGATGAAGTTTCTGCTCACATAACTCCTGCAGTCTTTGAATACCTGAAAAAATAAATAAAAAGTTAAGATTCTTTCTTCAGGAAAAAACTCTTCTTTGATATGCACGTTTGTGTAGCAATTCAATGACTACAGAGAATTTCTCACCATCTCGTCTGTTGGTATGATACTTTGTTTCCCAGGCATCAAACAGCATGTTGTAATAACGAGGTGCCTCAAAGAATTGATGATAAGTATGAGAACTTGTGGTTGGGAATATCTTTTGGAATCTATAAGAAGCAAGCAATTATTTTCCTACATCCCTTGAAATACAAGTCAACTTAACAACAGATTTAAAAGCGCTCAGGTTGACTAATAAAATAAGCATGGAAACTTTGACACACCTGCCACATTGAGTAAGTTCATCCTCGTACTGAATGAGGTGTCTTACATCATCTGCAGTAAGATCATTGAGAATAGTAGGGAGGTACTGAAATAAAAAAGGACAACAAGTAGGTAACATTAAAAATGTTTCATATTAAAATAGAAGGGGAAAAAAAAGGGGGGGGGGTAATTCCAGTAAAACCATTAGTACTTACCTCTTCTCTGCAATTAGCTGACTGGTGGAGAATGTGCTTATTCCTCTCCTCAGCCGAAAGGACAACAGTGTAAAGCCTCTTGTCTAAACACAGTGAGGGTAGATCAGGCCTGTTGTACTGCTGACTAAGCTCTTCCTGATAGACAACAAACATGAATTAAGTCTCTGAACAGACAGAACAATACTAGCAAATGGTATACAGATCCTAGACTTGTAACTCACCTGCTGAGATGGAGATAATTTGCAAGGGATTTGGTGTCCAGCCATGTTCATTAAGTCTCTTACCATAGGTCCTTTGACAGCTAGGTCTAAGGGAGATGAAGAGTGAAGGGAAGGAGATATATTTACCTAAAGAAAAACTTTCTGTTAGTTTAGTGGAGAGGAAGAAGCAGTAAAATCTTGCTTTGACAGCAAGTGCACGACAAAGACAAACACATATGGAAGGCAGTACCTCAAGAAGCCATGGTTTGAGATCCTGGTCAAGAAGAACATCCAAACCAAAAATTTCATAGCAACAGTAGCGAGAGTTAACATGAGCTCGAGTCAACTGATTTATGCTGGATTCCCCACTGATCACAGTTTTAACAGCTAGATCAACCAAGCGCTGCCACAAGGAGTCAACATCAATGTTGAACTTTCCCAGATATTTCCACAGAGACTTAATGGTCCTTTAAAAATGAGAAAACAAATTAGAAGAAACATTACTTTGCTGTGAAAGAGTTTTCCACTCCAGGCCAGGATCTGTAACGCTCATACCATTTATGACCCTTGCAAGCAGATTCATCTTCATTGTGAGTGTAGTGACTGCTAAGTTTGTTGATGCTGTAGTTGGTCAAGTGCATGTAGCGATCTGCTAGAGAGGCTGGATCCTCAGAGTATTTTACTAAAGTAACAAATCAAAACATAATAACAATTTAATGGTAAATTTATCTCAAGGTAAAGTAATCAAGTTCAAACAAGCAAAAATTCAGCCTTACCAGATGCAAAGCGCACAAGGCCATCATCATAGAGATATATCCTTAAAGGATGCATACTTGTGACTAAAATATAGAGACGCAAATCAAATTTGCAGCCATTGATTAAATATGGTCTATCCACATACTTCTGAACTACTAGGGGTCGCTTCTTAGGGATTTGTCCCCATCTATGAATCACCTTAATACCCGTCCCACGAGCTGATGCTGGCTGTAATGAAGAGAAAAATATTAAGAATATTCAAGAAAAAAACTAAAATAACATTCGCATTTAAGTCTGACTAAAAAAAAATTGCAAACAAAAAAGGAAAAGAAAAAGAAAACTCATACTTACTGGTTTTATGATCCAAGCTTCTTTGCCATTACTGCGCTCCCATGCAGCCCGCAACATTTTACTGTCCTGAGGTAAGACATAAGTTCTGGGAATGAAACCAAACCTGCAAAGGACGAGTAATAATTTAACAAGATTCGAGAATCAAGAAGAATTTTATAAATAGAATAATTCATCATTAATGGCAAAGTCATGGTAGTAGTGATTGGAATCTTACTCTTTCTTTCCAAATTTGGCCATCAACTTGAAAAGATTTCTCCACAGCCTGTCTTTACGGCCAATTTGAAATGTACCAGGAAAATGATTGATTTTCTGGTATTCCTTCAGCACTTTAAAATTTATAGATTTCATATGTTTCCCCCATGTACCAGTCCATTCATTTGATTCTGGAAGACACACTGGATATTAAGGTCATGTACAACAAAAGGCAATACAATACCTAGGTTTAAACAATAAAATCTCTTACTTCTTATAAGTCGAAAGCCGGAGTTGAGAACAGTGCGTCTCACAACAAGGGGGGTAATTGTGCTGAGGTTCCACTTAAGATTCCGTTGGATGGTCGGTGGAAGTGCTGGTCCTAGAAATGGTCCACCAGGTTATTAAATGGCAATCAGTACGTTTTCAATTCATCATATTTCAATTCCTACACAAACCTTTCTGGTCATGCAGAGAAAACCTGATATAAGGAGGCACATTAGGGAATAAACTGGGTCTTAAGCCATCTAGAGAATGTGGTCCTGGGTATTCCCTAATTTTTTTAGTTTTAACATCCGACTTGGTTGGAGCAGCAACTTCTTTTGCATCCTTCTCTGCTTTACCATCTAGAATAAGACAATTTTTATTTACTTTTAAAATTTGACAATTATGAAGAGTCAAACATTATCAATGCTAACCTTTTTCTATTGAGTTAGGAGATTTGTTTGAATCAAACTGAAGACCCGCCTAAAAATGTGATGAATTAGTTATAATTTTTCAACAGAATTACATTTTGTTAAATTGATGAAAATTTGAAACTAAATTTTTTTAAGCAAACTCACTTTACTGTCTTTACCATTCTCTGACAGTTCAGATGGTACTTGTTGAGACTTGGGTGAAGAATTAACAAAGTCTCTAGCTCTTTTGACTTCTTTTTTTATGCTATGATGATTGTGACGAGGGTCTGGAGGACTGGTGGTAGCACTACTCAGCTCCGAGTCACTTCGTTCCCGAGCACGCTTGTTGTCAGACAACCCACGAAGATGTTCTAACCCATGCAATTTGCTACGAAGTGTTTCTATCTCTTGTAGGTATCTTTCCTAGATTTAAAAATTGAAATGTAGTATAAAAATTCTGTGAAGACCTGGCTCTGTAAGAGAAAGTGACACTCAAATGAAAGTTACCTCTGGATGAGGATTCGCCTCAGTAGTTTGATGAACAAGGCGGTGGTAACCAGAAAATCCATTTCCATTCTTATGACCCTGTCCAATTTTTGGAGAGACAGAGGAAAAGTTTCCATTTTCTAAATGACCATTAGTGCAACTGTCAATAAAATTACTTTCATGTGACCATTTGGACGTATATTGGGCTTTAAGCCTAGGTTTTCCAGCAGTCTTATAAGCTTGAGCATTCCAGTCTCGGGGTAAGCTGCCATTTAGATATTGTAAGTCTGTGGCATTTACACTTTGAAAAGGCTTTCTACCTGGTGATGGAAAGCGAACCTGTAAGAGAAAATTAAATTTCAGTATTCATTGAAAAACACCTAGAAGACCATGTGGTTACTTTGAGTTGTATTATGCTGTAATAATATGAACCATGAACTACAGGATGCTAAAAAGATTGTAACATAAGCACCATGAGAATTATATTTTTATCAGACAGTAACATTGACATTTTCAATGTCCACAGGATGAATGAAAACTCTTCTTTCACCAAATAAACTTGCAAGGTACGCAATAATTAACTAAAGAAATATTGCCAAGTATGAAAGCAGTTAACATAGAGCTCCATTCGGCTGCTGTCCTGTTCCTACTCCAAAACAGAAACACAAACAACCGAAAATTTTACAGCAAGCCAGTCAAGCACTCAATGATCACCAAAGGTAACTAGACAAGAGAAATGAGTAAACTCCGCACAGGGAGGTCTAAAACACTTATCTACAAACGCAAAACAATGACACAAACATATAAAGCCTTATTTACTTGGAAATTGATGTGATAACAGATCATAAGACACACCTTTTCAACAGAATTAAGTCACATTACAATTGAATAGTTGATATCATATTTTTATTTACAGCGGAAGTTCAAAAAAGCGATGTAAGCAAAATGGTATGCAACAAGAGAACTAGCAAAACAACTTTCAAGCTTTAAAGTTAGAAAATTAATAATTTGATTTGTTGGGAGTGATACTTGATATTTTATTTTTTATCATGAATGTTAGTTAAACACAGATAAGCTTTACTTTCTCTCCTTGAATACAAATAGAATACACTAATGTACTGTTGCGGTTTGGCATATTTTCATGTATCTAGGTAAAAGCAGAGCTCTTACAGAAATTAAGCAGAATAATATCCATACTTTCCAAAACAAAGGCTACAGCAGTAAGTGGTTAAATTCCACAATCTACTTCCCACTAAATGTTACACTGGAATACCTTATGTAAAGAGGTTTCGCCCTCCTGTAGTTGATAAACATCCCTGGCCTTCACTATTTGTGGACGTAGCTGTGGAAGTACCATAAGTACACATACAAGTTTTTCAAATTTCTTAAGAACTATAGAAAGATCAATTATAATTGAATGATTGGAATTTATAGTTTAATAGGCCCATTTGGTGAGGATCCCACATGCTTCGTGGCTAATGTTTGCACAAAGGCGTTTTCAAAGACTAGTCGATGTGAGAGGAGGACGCATAAAATAACATATGTGAAATACTTCATTTTATAAATAGATCGATGTGATGGTAGAAGGGACAGTAGACATCTTCAACATTGGAATGTGAGCACATTCTAAACCTCACAACAATATTGATATTAGTGGAACATTAAAGCAGCAGTCTTTTTTGTAGCCTGTCTCTAAAACATTATTTTGGGCCTTGCAACTTAGAAGTGAATAATACATTTTACCAGGTTTCAGGCCAGTGATGAACGCAGTGTAAAAACTTTGCACAATAAAAAATATGTTTGATGTTTTGGTTAAAGACAGAGAGAAATGGTACCTAAACTTTCCGAGATGTTCTACAGAACTTAATTAATAAGAAGTCTTAGACTATACGAGAAAACTTACCCTTGATAAAGGACGTTGAATTTCAGCACAGTAACTTTGTTCATAGTGAGCATTAGTGACGCTTACAGCATCAATACCCTCACTTTTACACCGCCGTCGCCCACCATGTGAACCTAAAAGAATTAATATTATTATTTATTTTTTATGTTCAAAGGTAGGTGAAATGATATACCAGACCTGGACAAAAGAAGATAGACAAGCTTGAGGTAGGTATACATCAATGGGACCTACTTGTAAACAAGAACTCTTTGAGCATTTTTTTACCTGGATAGTTCATTTTGGATTTGAGGATGAATTAGCACCCCAACAGCATCGTCTTCGGCAGCAGGAAGTACGTTAAACACCGCAACCTCATGGACAGGGTACGTGCAGCTGCTGAGGAAACAAAGGGTTAGACACGAGTCGACGAACATGTCCCCCCCTGACAAGGAAAGCGAAACCCCTCAGCTCAAACCGAATCAAAAAAGTCCCCACACTGGAAGGACGGGTCATACTCTGAGTGTTTGTATTCACTCGACCAAATAGACCCTGTATTGCCGAAAATACGCATCGCTTTTTTCCACGTTGTCATTTAAGATATGAGACGCGAAACCACAGAAAAAGCACAGGCCTGATAACCTACAAGTGAGGTTATACGTGGGGGACTCAGGGGCACAGGAGCAGACATTAATCACCTAATTTGCAAAGAGTTGGTGGCAATCGGGTTCAGGCTTGCATACTGCAGGGGTGGTTTGCGCCGAGGGCTCTTCCGACCTCAGGGGTTGGACGGAGGGGTCACTTCTTCAGTACGTAACTCGGGGCAACTAACGTGCATGTTGTGCACGGGAGGGCATTTATTACGCGGGAAGTGGGAGGGGGAGGGGGAAGGGGGAAGGAGGGGAAGGTACAGGAGACAGAGCTGTCTAGGGTACCTTCCTCGTTAGGAATAGTTATCAACCGCACAATGACGTGTTTCGTTTCCTAGACTGTAGTATGAGTGAAATAATAACTAGCGTTTAAATACAAACACCGCTTCATTGCGTGGGCAACAAGGAGTGGAATGATACGGATTCCCCCGTAAGGAGGGGGAAAGACTTCTAGAGGGAGGAACACAAGAGGGAAGTTTGGCTGGCGCCCCACCCACCCCCGCCACAGGACATACTCATCACCTACGGAATGCCCTGCGTACACGGCTGAAGATGCGATGACGTGCGGTATCAATGACACTGAGCGGTAGATCTGAATCAGACCAACGGAACCGAATATTGCGCGCACCCTCCTGCCCTCCTCCGCGGCCCTCTGCAAGGGGAGGGTGGTGGTGGTGGCGGGAGGACGAACCCTTACGAGTGCACGCGCAGCGCGCAACTAATCGAACTAATGTGTGTCGGAAGGGAGAAGGGCAGGAGCCTGGCGGGGGGTGGGGAGGATATCTGGGGCAGCGGGTGAGGCAGGCGAGCAGACGCGTGCGTGGGAGAGCCACGTGCGCGGCCGCGGGGGGGTTTGTTGATAGTGGCGCCAGACTCGCCAGGTCAAGGCGAACCACTATATACAGAGAGGAAGCAGACAAAAATTTAGAATGGGTTGCCCATTGTTTTATTTTGTACAAATCTAAAATAGCATGAGTGATGAATTAAAATAGCAGCACTTAATAGTAGAATAATTACTTGTTCCTCAGTAAAGTACATTATATGTAAATTACATTATTGCCATGATCTCTCCACAGATACCGAATTAAAATAAACCTAATTACTAGACAAAATGCTGGAATTATAAAAGGCACATGAGAAGCAGTTCTCCTCTCTCTTCACAAAAAATTACAATTTATACTTTACGTTTGGTTTTCATGATTACAACTAAATCAAAAACAGTGTGTTGTCAGCAAGCATGACTTGATTTTCTTCTGCCATTTTATCGATAGCTGCTAATATTTCTCCGTCGTCAAAGGGCTCAGCGTGATGTTCCAAATTCATAACAACCTTCACTCTATCAAGTGTGACAGACTGACTACGCTCATCTCTGAATATTTTCATTAGACTGGCTTTGAACTTTGCCAACCTGGAATAGAAATAATAAGTTTCATCAAATCCAGTTCTCTCAGAAGGTAAAACAAGGAAAAAGGAAACACACAAAGTGAAGCAGTTAAGGATGAATATGTAATCTCACCTGACATCTGTAATTGATGTGGCTGCAGGAGTTTCAGGAGCTAGTGCTGGATGAACCTCTTGTGCTTTAGATCTTGTGGGACGCTTCTCTGTTTCATCAACATCCATAGGCTCCTGGGACTGCAAGAAAAATAGTTTTTAACAACAGTAACAGTGAAATAGGATAAAATAACATCTAACTAAATTATACTTTAAAAACTTCCTGCAAAGTAAGTGAAAAAAGAAATTCTCTGAAATTTTAACAAGCCGCTGAGCTATAATATTACCTGCTGAGAACCTCTTCGTTGTCTCTTGGCTGGCTGTGATTGTTCAGGTTCAGCTTCACCCTCATCTGAGGTCTCAGCTTCAGGATCATCAGCATCATCTTCGGCCTCATCATCATGTCTGCGCTGCCTCTTCTTCTTCTCAATAACCTGGCATAAGAGTATTAAATAGATAAAAAAGTAATTTCATGCCTACAACTCAAAGATATCACACAACAAAATCAAAAATCACCTTCTTGAAATAAGCATACTGAACTAACTCAATTGCTGCTTCAGCATCCTGAGTATCAATTTTCTTGGAAAGTCTTGCCTTAGCATGAGCAGTTGACAAACGAATGAGAGTTTCCAATGTTCGGGCTGTGACAGGTTGAGTACGGGCAACATCTGATTCCATATTGTCCTGTGAGCGCAGTCTTGAGTATTCTTCAGCAATGGCTTCAGAAGCTGCCTCAGTGAGAACTGGCTTCATAAATTTGGCTATTTGAATATATTTACGCATAAACTTCATGCTAAGGACTTGATCTGACCTAGAACGAGTATTGCCATGAAGTAACGCATCATACTTTTCATACATTTCAGTTCGTGTTTCATCTTCTTCATTTCGGTCAGGATTGTATGTGCTTAACATATCTACAGCAGAACCCATAGGCAATGCTTCTCCATCTTGCTCATTGGGATTCCTGTATCTGTGCATCCGCACTACATGGTCTGAGATTTTACTATCGTTGTCATTATCAACCAAATCCAACATAACGAACAGTAAATCAAAACGAGACAGCAGTGAATCTTGAAGACCAATGTTTTCCATGGGAGTCTTGTATTGATCATATTTTCCATATACAGGATTGGCAGCAGCAAGTACAGAACATCGGGCATTCAGGCGGGCCTGAATACCAGCCTTTGCTATGGTCACTCTTCCTTGTTCCATGACTTCATGGATAGCAGTACGGTCCACATCAGACATTTTATCAAATTCATCAATGCATACAACTCCACGATCAGCGAGGACCATAGCACCAGCTTCCAGCCTGCGCTCTCCTGTTTCAGTGTCACTAGTTACAGCTGCAGTAAGACCAACTCCTGAAGATCCTCTGCCAGTGGTTGGAATTGCCCGGGGAGCTGTGCCTAAGACGTATCTTAGCAATTGTGATTTAGCCACACTGGGGTCACCAATCAACAAAACGTTGATATCTCCTCTGAGTCTGGAGCCATTGGGCAACACCTTCTCAATACCACCCAGAAGAAGACACAAAATGGCTCTCTTGACAAATTCATGACCATGAATAGATGGTGCAAGAGATTTTGCCAATAAATTGAAGACATTTTTCTTCTGAGCCAACCTCTTACAATTAGCAATATCTTCACGTGAGACTGTCAAGGCATTTTCTCGTCGAAGTTGTTCAATATTGTTGGCAATAAGGACAGTTCTGTAAAATTATTTCTTTTTTAACACAGGTGGGGAAAGATGAACCAAAGAACATAATAATACTAGTTGGAAATTTTACCTAAAGGTGGCATTAGTAAAGCCACCTTGCTTTCCAGGAAGACAGCGATAGTTGCCCACTATCTGGACTCTGTCACCAGGTTTACAAAGATCAACAAGATCATCATCACATATTACATCTACAGAACGTGGCAGCTGACCAGCTGGGGCCTTCTCTGGCATTTCCTGAATGGTGACTGTCTGATGATCTTTGTATGATGAGAGACCAAACTCTGTTTCTAGGAGGTTGCCATCCTCATCCTGCAGAATTTTTTATTAGATATAAGGAAGTGGTAAAATAAACCTTCTTGAATTATTATAGATACAATTACCTGAGTAGGATATACAGAATTAGCAGGGAAGGGATCAAAAGAAGTGAGATCAGTATATTTGCGCTCGAGGACCTTTTTTGTTGCAGGACAGAAATGAACACTTCTGGTAACTTTTGGTCTCACCAGAGAACCTGAAAGGTGGAAAAAAATCACATAAAAAGAATGTACTTCTAATTCTGAACAAAAAGAGGCTAACTTAAACACTTACATTTGGTGACAATCCCCTCCACACAAACCATATGGCCCAAGTAATGGGACATCAACGTCCGTGGAGTCACATGATTGCGACCAAAGCTTCCCTCAAAAGCAACAAAGAACTCATTGTGCTCTTTCGAAAAGGTAGGATCTACACTACCAACATACTCTTTCAAAGCAAGTTGGAAAGCAATAATTTCTTCAAATGAATTGCGCAGTATCCTATATTATGAGCAAAATTAGACAAGAATTTAGGGTACTTAGAGAAAATGGACGTATCAAGTACACAGTTCACAACTTGTACATACTCTACAGCTCTGGCAGGATTTCTGCGGCGCAAGTCATTAATGTTGATAACCAGTCTTGTTTTCTTTTCTTCGACCATGACTTTTACTCGGTTGGCATACAAGCCTTGATCTTCCTGTCGAAACAGAGAAAATGGCACGGACATAGTAAAATTTGAACATAATAGACAACTGGCTGAAGGAAATTTTTCATCCAGACTGCAATGTAAATGAATTCTGACATATACTTGATCGAGAAGACCGAACATCACCAATATTTACATACCTCATCGTCCAAGAAGTCAAGGTAGGCACGTTGAATGTCACGAAGTCTCTGATCTACCTCAGCAACAGCCATTTTTAGATGATTTCTCACTTGATAGCTTTTGAATAAGTTCCCTCTTAGACGTGTCCAAGTAAAAAGGTATGAGGTACCATCAAACACGAAATAAACCAATAAATATATCAGACACACAATGGCACTAAACAGACACAGAGAGAACACTTCTTTTGGCGCGAAATGAAATGTCAGTGCCTTTCAAAGTTTTCGCAGAACGTAGTATGAAAATAAAATCACAAAATCTTGACACCAACTTAGTCATTGCTCCTCTCAATTTGTGCCGGTGAAATTACGCATATTTATACCAAGACACGAAGTAAAATTCAATTTAAGTTGTTTGCTATGATGTTACCTTCTGGAGTTTGCATGCTGCAGAATACTTAATCCCTGTGAATATAAACCTGGAGGCTAGAGAAATTTTCCTCTTACGTGCCATTTTTGTCAACACTGCGTCCGTACAATGTTTTGTTTTGTTTTCATGTCTACTGTTTAGCAGACGCGTTTGGCGAAAAGAAAAAGTAACCACGCAGACAGTTTTCAATAAGAGTTTTGTAAAATTAAGCTTCAACGGTTTTATTCTCTTCTCAAATCTGTCAAGGTATTTATTTTGTACGTGCAGTAAAGTAGCGTCATGTAGACGATACTTTGGTCATACCAGTAGCTCATACGATCAGCTGTCCGGATCCCGATTGTTGGACTATATGTCATCGTGAGTCAAGCTTTATTTTTATAGTGGCCTTCCTTTTTGATACAGTGAGTGATGAATCATATTGGGAGGCTGGCTGTTTCCACAAGAAGTGTTAATCCCCTTCTCAATTTTCAACGTGTTATGAGGTTGGTTTTGTGTGTTGTGAGACACAGAGACCCCACTCATGAAGCTGCATATAATCACATCATTCTCATGTTTAATTTGGTCTCATGAAGAAGCAGGGATCAGACATTTAGACCTAAATTTCATTCTTTCACTATCTTAGATTTACAAGGGCCTTACAACTTTCACTCTTATGTAATTAAGGAAGGTTCATTAAAACATGACTTGTCGTTTGTCTTTTTGGCTGCTTTCGATCATGGTTGTTTGTGATATTTTCATGGTTAGTTTTGTTGCTCTGATTTTAAAATCTCTATCTTTTTTATATTGCAGTGTAGAAGTCTCACCTGCTCTAAACATGACCATGGCGGTTAAACACAGATATGATAATATAACAAAATCTGTTGAGGATAAGCGCTTGTATAGAGGCATAGTTTTAGACAATGGAATGAAAGTTCTTCTGATAAGTGATGATACGACTGATAAATCGGCTGCTTGTATTGATGTTGCAGTGGGTAAGTTTTTAAAAGAAATTTATTATTTGCATATCCAGTGAAAACAGATGTTTTATTTCTTGGAGAACCACTAACTTTAATCTTGTTATTTTCAGGTTACATGTCTGACCCTGATGACTTACCTGGTCTTGCACATTTTTGTGAGCACATGCTTTTTCTAGGAACAGAGAAGTACCCAGATGAAAATAAATATAACCAATTTTTATCTCAAAATGCTGGAAGATGTAATGCATTTACCTCAACTGATGTAACAAATTACTACTTTGATGTGGCTCCGGATCATCTAAAGGAGACTTTAGACATGTATATCTCACACAAACTTTTATCATGAGTTCTTGATTTTTATACTATGTGTAATAATTCAGAATGTTGTCTTCAGTTTTGCGCAATTTTTTATTGCACCACTATTCACTGAGAGTGCCACTGATAAAGAGGTGAATGCAATTGAATCAGAGAATGATAACAATTTGCTCAGAGATGTATGGCGTTTATCACAGTTAAAAAAGTCTCTCTCTAAGAAAGGTCATCCTTATTCCAAATATGGAACAGGTAAGTTGGGAACACATTTCAATTTGTAACTTTTACACATGCTTTACTCAGGTAATGGTAAATTGTTTTCTATTTTATTTTTTATTTTCAACAGGAAACAAGCAGACCCTTGTTGAAAAACCCAAAGAAATGGGAATCAGTGTAAGGGAAGAACTTCTCAAATTTCATTCTACATGGTATGCCGCAAATATGATGAGTCTCATTGTTCTTGGGAAAGGTAAGACAGATTATCTTTTTGGTGTTTTCATTTTATCTCCATGATATCTACAATCTGTACTCATTTCTGTAGAGAGCCTAGACGACCTGGAGGCTATGGTTATTGAAAACTTCTCCCAAGTAAAATCTAAAGATGGTGTTGAACCACCATCATGGCCAGAGTCACCTTGTGGACCAGATGAACTGCAGAAGAAACTTCTAGCCATTCCTGTGAAAGATTTACGCAATCTTGTTATCACTTTTCCCATTACTGATCTCTCAGACCATTACAAATCTTGTGTGAGTATAAATTTCCTAATCTACTCTATGTTTCAAACCTATTTTGGTTTTTGTAATATTTTCTATCTTTGAACCTTTAGCCTGCAGGATATGTGGCTCATTTTATTGGTCATGAGGGCCCTGGGAGCATTCTCTCTGCTCTGCGTTCTCGAGGTTGGTGTAATGGACTAAGAGCTGGACCCACACAACCAGCAAGAGGATTTGCTGAATTCTCTGTAGCCGTAGACTTGTCAGAGGAAGGTGTGGATCATGTTGATGATATAATAAATATAATATTTCAGGTAAAATCTTAATAATTTATTGTAGTTTTCTTTGTATTGACTATTTAAAACCTATCTATCTTTCCCGTTGTATTTTTTTTTATAGTACATTAATCTATTGAAAAAGACTGGACCAAAGAAAGAAAGTTTTGAGGAGATGAGATCTCTCAAAGAGATGAATTTCAGGTTCAAGGATAAGGAGCCTCCAATGAGCTATGTGACCAACCTTGCATCAAACATCACAGTAAGAAATTAACGTCTAGTTTCATAGTCAGTTGTGTGTTCTACTTCCTCATCTTGTGCACTGAACTTTAAATTTTCTTTTACTTCTTCAGAGATTTGCTATGGAGGATATTCTAAAGGGTCATTATATATTAGATGAGTGGAGGCCAGATCTGATTGTTGAAGAAGTCTTGAATAAACTCACTCCAAATAATATGAGGTCAGTGAAACTTCTGAAATGTGGAGCTCTTTTTTTTCTTTTGTTATCTTTTTACTCTGTCCTCTTTATTCTCTACTAACTCATTTGTATTATTTTTTTAAATATTTTTTGGCATTGAAGAGTGGTTGTGCAAGCTCAGAAATTCAAACCACTTGCTGATATGAAGGAGGAGTGGTATGGAACCGACTACAGTTTGAAGGACATTCCCCAAGAAACACTAGAAGTACATAATAATAATGATAATACTTTGAGATACTTTTCAGTGCCTGTAAATTTTAAATACCTCCTTCTAAATGTGTGCCTAATTCTTGCCTTCTTGTTGCCATAGAAATGGAATTCTGCTGGATATTGTGATGACCTTGCTCTTCCTCCTCCAAATGAATTCATTCCCACTGATTTCGAAGTTTTGCCAGTTACTCCAGATGTGAGCCAAATTTTAAATACCTTAGTCATTATGTGAAAAGTTTATGTTTCCGTTGTAATTATTGTCTTACCTTTCCACTGTTGTTGAAGATAAAGCCATTTCCAACCATTATACAAGATTCACCGCTATCAAGAGTTTGGTACAAGCAAGATGATAAGTTTTTACTGCCTAAAACATCTTGCAAAATTGACATTGGAAGGTAAATTACTCTCAAATTGTTTGCTCTCAGTTTTAGCTGTTAATGTCAGTTCTATTATCCATAGCAATTTTTTGCAGCCCCTTGGCGTACTTAGATCCAAACAGTTGCAACAAATCAACAATGTATGTGTATCTGTTAGAAGATGCTCTGAATGAATACTCTTACGCAGCTACTCTTGCAGGCTTGCACTATAGTCTGGGAATTACCACAACTGGTTTACAGGTATGCAAATACAGATGTCATGATTGATAAATATAAATTGACTCACCAATGTTTCTTTATTTGTTCTGTACACCTCAGGAAAGAGCATTAACAATAACGTAATAATAATTTTTCAGTTGGTCTTGGAGGGATATAGCAGCAAGCAGCATGTTCTTTTGGAAAAGATTGTGGAAAGAATGGCTAATTTTCAAGTGGACCCAAAGCGCTTTGAAATTCTAAAAGAAAACGTAAGTACACAACTGTACATTTACTATTTTCCTGGTTTAATATGATGACTTTCTAAATGACATCTTTTATAAATTTTTCTGTGAGCAATTGAAGTTCTATAGTATAAGACAGAGAATTACATTTAAGAAGGCCAATAATGTCTTTTTCCCCCATTTTAGCACATGCGGTCACTGCGCAATTTCAAACTTGAGCAACCTCATTCACATGCAATGTATTTCCTATACATGCTCATGTTTTACATCCAGTGGACAAAAGAAGAACTTATGGAGGCACTGGAAGGTGGTTATAACATATTGTCATATGATCTTTTTAAACTGCCCAAGACCTTTGTTGCCATGAATATATCTACTGGTACTTGCAAATCACAACTCTTATCTTTTGAGGTCTTTTTTTTTCCAGGGTTGACTGCAAGTGATGTTGAAGAATTTGTTCCTCATCTATTGTCAAACATTCACTTAGAATTTCTAATCCATGGAAGTGCCACCAAGGAGGTATGTACATTCAACAAAATAGCTCTGTAGTTCTAAAATTTTTTTTATTTTGATTTTAGATTGATCTTAATTCTTTTATTTTTGACAGAGAGCTCTCCAGTTATCAAATATTGTGGAAGATACCATCAAAAAGCAAATCAAACTACGTCCACTATTACCAAAACAAATGGCTTTGTTGAGGCAAATCCAGCTGGCTGACCGTAGCAATTTTGTTTACCGGATTGAATCTTCAGCCCACCCATCCTCGTGCACTGCAGTTTATCTGCAATGTGGGACCCTAAGCACTGAAAACAACATGAAGCTAGAATTAATTGCTCAAATTTTAAAGGAACCGTTCTTCACAATTCTTCGTACTAAGGAGCAACTTGGTTATATTGTTCGGTGCAGCATACATCGTTCATACACAGAACAGGGCTTAATGGCCCTAGTGCAGTCAAGTCGTGACCCCGAATATGTTGAGAAAAGAATTGAAGCATTCTTTGATCATATGCTTGTGAGCTAATGTGTTTGCAGATTAATATGTGTGTGTTATATTGCTGAAGAGAAAATAATACTTCTGTTTTCCTTTTTTAATTAGAATTTTATTATTGAGATGAGTGAAGAGGACTTTGAAAAGCACAAGGAAGCTGTGGCTGTTAAAAGATTGGAAAAACCGAAGATGCTCTGGGCCCTTAGCTCAGTATATTGGAGGGAGATTGTTTCTCAGCTGTATCACTTTGATCGTGACAATGTTGAGGTTGACTACATGAGAACTCTTACAAAACAAGATGTAATTCAGCATTATCAGGTGATGCTTTGAAAGCTGCCTACTCCTGCCACTATCTTTCAATGTAATGGTATTTAATACTTCCTCTGTTTTCCTCAGGATCTGATAAGCCATGATGCCTGTAAGCGACACAAACTCTCTGTACAAGTAGTACCAGCCCAGGACTCTACTTTTGAACTTCGCACATCAGAAACTGCAGCAGTGATGGATAACGGCAAAGTGGCAGAGGACATTCACCCTGCCCCAGAAATCAGTACTCCAGTAAGTAACAAATCTGTTAGTAGAAATCCTGTGTATTATAGGTATGTTCACAATTAATTTTTCTTTCTCCACAGGTTGTTGCCATTGAAGATATTCTGTCATTCCACCGATCTCAAGCATTGTGCCCTTACCCAAAGCCTTACATGATTGTTGGGGCAAGATCCAAGCTATAAATTTGTCTATCTCACAAGAAAAAGAAAACTTTATACTCTTTAAATACATATGTGTTTATGGAATTGCATGCATGAATTACAAATAAGCTGAACTTGTGGGCTGTGTGCAAATTTTGACAATTTACCAAATAATGTTGAATCTATATAAAAGTTCAAATCAATGGATGAACACCTACTAAACATTTGCATTCTAAGACTATCTGCTTTTATGTACCTGAGTAGCAGGTTTTCCTGATAGTTCTTTTCCTTTACTTTAACTGTAAATATTTGCAAAGTTTTCAATGAATTTTTATAAACTAAATTTTTAATTTCAATTGCATTGCAATATGTGCCAGTATTAGTTTTACCAATCATGTTGTTTGTTCCTCCTCTCATATATTTGATGATGACTCATTAGCGCTTGTACTTAACATTGCACCAAACTAATCAAACTATTTGTGGTAGGGTGTTCTGCTCCATCTTTCAGTGGAAATAACGGTGGAAAAAAAAGTAAATAACTATTGTCTTTGTTTCGAGGATTGGCACAACGCTCTACTCCGATATGACCCGTTTGTCAGCTCTGCCGCTTGATCAAAGTAATAAACAAATGCATACTTCAAATGCAACAAAAAGAAAATGAAGTTCACTTACTGTACTCGTACCCGGCCCCCCTGCCTCCGCCCCCTCACCTCACCTCTCCCTCCCCCGGGGCCCAGCATCTGGTCGTGGCGATGACTTCGGGCTGGGCCCCAGCAGACGCTCTGTTGTGACGGCTGCTGGCAGCAGACGGCGGCCCACCCGGATCGCGCTCCCGCTCAGCCTCGCGACGACATGAAGAGGACATGGACCGCCACGGTGCCCGTCTCGGTCTCGCTGCCGTGCTCCTGGCGCTCGTGACCCTTCTGCCGGTTCGAGGTGAGTGCAGTGCGAGGAACAGGGCTTTATTTCTAGGTGAGAGAACAAAATGAGCGACTTTTCCCCTATTCGGCGAGTTAGAAAGTATATTTTATTTTATATTATTATAATAATTATCAGAAAGCCATGCGTCTACATTTCCACGTCGGACGGCCGAGGAGGGGCCACCAGCTGCGTGTCTGTTCTCAGCTGGAGTGAAAGGCGAGATGCCGCCGAGGGAAGTTCCATCCATTCCATTGAAATCGATTCAAATGTCTGCGCGCACAATGCAACACTTCCTCGGCGCTGCGCAAAGCCGGGGCCGGGGGGGGCCTGCGGGGGCGGGTCCACAGGTCGGCGCCTTTCACGTCGACACCCCACAGCCCCACGTGCGGCTGCGGTTTCCTTTTCCTCCCGGTCCCCGAATGTTCTCATCGCGCTCGCTGTTATTGGCCTTGCCGTGACTGCAACGCGTGGCGCCTCGGTAGCGCCGCCCGATGCGGGACCTGCCGTGGCGGCGCCGACAAACAAGCTGGTTCTTCTCGACGTGGGGCGTGGAGGGTGGCGGGGCCGCGGAAGCGTCGCGCTGCGCGGGAGGGGGAGGGGAGGGGCCGAGGGGCCCGTGGGTCCCGCGACCAGGTCGCGACCTGCTGGGTTCCGGTTCCGCAGCCCGCCGTTCAATCATCTCCCCGACAATTGATTTACGTATTCAGCAGCAGCGGCGGTCGCGGTGGCGCGGGCTGCCCTTTCCATGGGAACCAGTCATGACGGAGGCGCAGCAGGCCGTCGCTCCGGTCCGCTCGCGCGCCCCGTTCGCCCCCGTACCGTTCGCTGCTCGATGTTTGCGCCGATGGTTAGGGCGGCCCAGTTGTGAGCCCCTCGTCCTTCCGGAGGTTGTCGCCCCCGCAGTGTACACAGCAGGACCGAAGTTCGACGTTATTCCGACCTCCTTCTGTTCGTCGTTGACGCGCAGGCGGTGCGCAGCAGCAGCTGCAGCAGCAGGGCCGCGGCTTCGTGCAGCTCCTGGCGGGCCAGTGGCGGTGCATGCTGGACGACCTGGTCTCCGGCCGCGGCCTCGCCAGGATGTTCCCCGCGACCAACGCGTCCGCGCCGCCCTGCTACCCGGACGTCACCGTGCACCTGTACACCGCAGGGTGAGGATGAAAGCCGAAAGGTTCCTGGGCTGCGGCCATCGGGGCGAGGCGGGCCGCCGGCTCCACACAGCTGCTTGGCGGGCTGGCCTACCCCGCGCGTTGCAGGCGCTACCGCATGTAGGCTTTGCTCTGGAGACCGTGCTCTGTTCTATTGCTGGTTTGAATCTGGCGCGAGTTTGACTCGGGTGGTATGGTGGCGTTCCATCCGCATGCGCGCCCCAGGAATTCCAGGGGCTCCAGGTCGCCGCCGCGGCGCAAGGTCCTGGACCCTCGGCGGGCGGGCTGGCTGCGCTGGAGCGGCTGGGACCCCGGGCGCAGGACCGTGCTCCTGGTGCACGGCTTCAACGGCGGCGTCGACAAGGCCCCCACCACCACCCTGCGCGACGGTGAGCAGCCCGCACCCTCCCTGTGTGGGTGGGCCGTCAGCGACCGTCACGTGCCCGTCACTGCCCACAGCGTTCCTGGAGGCTGGCGGCTACAACGTGCTCGCGCTGGACTGGTCGCCGCTCGCCCGCTACCCGTGCTACGCCGAGGCGGTGCGTCACTCCCGGACGGCGGCGCGCTGTGGTGCCCAGGTGCTCGCGGCGCTGCAGGCCGTGCTGGACGACGGCGTCCCCCCGGGCGGCGGCCTCCTGCCCGCGGCAGACCTGCGCCTCGCCACCTGCGTGGGGCACTCGCTGGGGGCGCACGTCTGCGGTATGCTGAGCCGCCTGCTGCCGCAGCGGGTCCGCAAGCTGGTCGGTGAGTACTACAACCCCGTCGTCGCCCTGCTCAGCGCCGACCTCTGACCCTCGACCGCTTGCCCCACACTCGCCAGCTCTGGACCCGGCGCGGCCGCAGGTGGAGCGCCTGCTGGGCCGGGACACCCTGGCCGTCAGCGACGCCCGCGTCGTGCAGACCTTCCACACCAACATGGGCTTCTACGGCGAGTACCCGGGCCCCGCCGTCGACGGCCACGCCAGCTTCTGCTTCAACGGCGGCCGCCTGCAGCCGAGCTGCGACCAGGGAGGTCGATTCAGTGAGTCGTGAACGTGTGAACACACTGTACCGCGCACGGCGCACCAGCCGCCTCAGTGACCCAGCAGTGCTCAGTGCTCGCGTTGTGACCAGGTCGCATGCGGTGCAGCCACTTCCTCAGCGTGTGCTACTACGCGCAGCTGGTGCGGCGCCCCGGCGCCTGGACGGCGGCCGCGCCCTGCGACGGCTCTTGCAACCGCGAGCGCGGCCGCCCGCCCTTCCCGTTCGTGCTGACCGAGGCCTCCACGGACAGGTAGTACAGTCCACTCAGAAACAAGCAGGCCCTGATCTGTGCTTTTGAAAGTCAACCTCAAACTGTATCTTTGCCCCATCAGATGGAGGGGCACCTACTGCCTCGATCTCAGCTTGGACAGCCCATGCAGGACAGACATTTAACACGCCATCGACAAAACCAAATGAAAACATTTTATTTGTAATAAAGAATCTTTCCTCGTGAAAGTTGTTACACCCATCTCTTCCCCTCTCTTGGCCTCTCTGCACACCAGGCCTCGGTCAGCAGGGTATAGGCCACCCGTTCGACTGCGACGCCCTGCATGGCCCGGCAACGCCCGGCAACACGACGGGAAAAACAAAGGGAGCCGGAGAGGAACACGCGGAAAGAAGAAGAAGGATAAAAAAGGGGATGGCCACTCCGGCCCGGAGTGGTGGTAATCCAGACCGGAGCTGACAAGCGTGCATCCCGCCCTCCCATCTCTCTCTTTCTCTCCGCATCGCTTTTTTTTTTGTGGCGCCTCCGCTGTGCGCCATGCCACATCATGCTAATATGATCTTACAAGACACCCATGGCGCGGCGGGGCGGGGCGGGCGGTGTGCTCGCGAGGTGAGGGCGGGGCGGGGCGGCGCGGGTCGCGGGGCGTGCACACCGGCCCAGTGTCGATGTCACGAGAGGATACAGTACTCGGGGCGTCGCTTCTCCTTTCTTTTTTCTCGTCTTCTTTTTGCTGCTCGCTGTCTCCGCGCCGCCGCGTCGCCGCCTACGTTGTTGCGACATGAAAGCGATCCCTCCTGAACCACTTTAAAAGAATAAATACGTACGGCACCGTGACACGGCGTGTGTGTGTGTGTGTGTGTGTGTGCGTGTGTGTGTGTGTGTGTGTGTGTGTCGTGGCGTCGGCGAAGGTAGCAGCACTGGCAGACGCACCACCTTCCCATATCCTATCCCCATACGGGGAAAATCGCCTGGACCACAGCAAGAGCACGAAGCCATCAGCGAGGCCATCACTGCAGAACAATCCCGAATCCCGCGTACTCCCGGAGGGGGAAGTACCAGGGAAACCTAGCATATGCGCCAGTGATGACACGAGTCTTGTCGGGCACCAGCCAGCCGTCACCAGCTACCAGCCGCTACCAGCCGCTACCAGCAGCTACCAGCCGCTACCAGCCGCTACCAGCCGCTACCAGCCGCTACCAGCCGCTCCAGCCGCTACCAGCCGCTACCGGCCGCTACCAGCCACTGCCAGCCGCTGCCATCCCATATAACGCCTCCGCCCCGTGCAGCATGCAGCCCCTCTGGTGACATCCCTTCAGCGACCTGCCTGTCTCCTCTGCTTCCCCGAGCATGTTTGACGGAGGGGACGGAACCCGTCCCGCGGTCGAGTGACAGCCCGCCGCCCCGCCTTCGCGACCTCCCTCCCTTTTGCTCCTTGTTTCACCGTATTTTTGTTGTTGTTGTTGTTGCTGTTGTTGGCTGCTCCGCTTTGTATGAGGAGGATGAGGCAGCGCGGCCGCAAACGCACTTCCACCCCAACGATAAGCAACTCGAGACTAAGTAGCTTATAGGGGAGCTCCCCCCCCCCCTCCCAAGCACCCCTTGGCCTTCACACAGCATCACCACACCACGGCAACCACCAGGTCACTCCGCCCCCCCTCTCTCGCGACCCCATGCACTATTCGCCGGTGCGTCGGTGTGCTGTGTATGACGACCGTGACGACGTGTCCTCCTCACACTTCACAACACATTATCAAATAAGGTCAAGGGGGGGGGGGGTGACAGGGATGCCCTCCGCCTCGCCGACGCTCTGCTCTTCTGCCTCTCGCGGGTGGACAGGTGGTGGCCGGTGACGTCACCGCCAGCGTCGCCACCGCGCGCGAGCAGGGCGAGCAGCGAGCAGCATCTCTGCTGACTCTTGATGCTCCTGATTTATGCTGCACTGGTGCGGCCCTCGCGGGTGGGATGCGGTGGCGGGCCGCGCGGCTGTCACTCACATCTCTCTCTGTCTCTCTCTCACGGCAGGACTAAACTTTGTATGGATAACGTTCAAAAACATTTTCAGCGGATAAATACTACACATTCCTTTATTTTACCAAAAAAGCACTCACCGACCGCCGTGCGGAGGAAGGGGGGGGGGGGGGCTTTGCCTTCTGGTACAGGCAGGACCAGCACGTGCCCTGCGGCATGATCAGTATGTGGTCACGCTCCCATGTTAAATCATAGACATCAAAAAATAAGCAGCAGGGAACGTGTTAAAAAAATCATGGTAATTCTTACTTGTAATTCTGCCGTGGTCGCTGCTAACTACCCACTGACTACACTACGTACATTGTGTCGAATCGAGTCTCGAATAAGTGAGGCCAGAGAGTGATGACAGCCCCTCTACCGTGTCAGCGCTCCCCCCCCCC